AGTGAGAAAAACATATGAAGTGCACAATTTGGTGTTTGATGATAGTATTCTTGTTGCTAATTCTTTATTTTCCCTCTTCTCTTTGAAAATATCCTAAGTGATTCTGTACTTGAGCCCATATAAAGATGAGAAAATAGTAAATTAGAAATATCACACAATAGAATGTTTAATAATCAACTATGTTAATATAGGTCTAAATGTATGGTTAATAAAGTACACTAGTTTGCAGATAGTATTGTGTGCTATAGGTATTAATTTCTAATTCTTCTTTACTGAGTTATGGCAAAATGCTCAGCCAGGTGTAGCTGAAGAAAATAGTTTTGTTATGGTCTTAGGTTGTCTTTCACTTTCTGGCTCTTCATTGTCTACAAATAAGACACTGTTTTATTCAGATCTGCTTCACACTCATTGTATCGCAGAGTTATGATGATTCATAAGATCTGAGATAGGGTCCTAAGAGTGGGAGAAATATTTTCTAGGATATTCTGGTATCTCTATCCCTTGCTTTGTTGGTTTTGGCCATAGGTCAGCAAATTCTACCCATGGACTAAAGTTGATCTAATCTTTGAGTTAAGAGCATATTTTAATGTTTGTAAAAATCAAGATTGTGACTCATGGGAAATGTGGAATTCAAATTCCAGTGGTGTAGGACAGAGGCTTGCCCTGCTGTATGCAGCATGGCTGCTTTCGCACAAATACCGAGTGACGAGCAGCGGGACTGTGGCGGTGTGTGGCGTGCTTTCCACTTTCACTGCTTGTTCTGCAGAATGCAATGAAGCAGCTGTAATTCAATAGCACTTGGGTGGTATTTGAATTGCTGCACGTTAAGTTAATTTATTTTTTTAAATTTTATTTTAAAAAGGATAAAAGTAAACATAACAAAACAGAACAAAGCAAATCAGAAGAGAACAATGTAAGTGACACATATTCAAAGCAAGACAGTAGGAGATATACAGTGGCTACCATAATGTCTCTTGTGTTCTTCTACATAGTTGTCCATATCTTCACACACAATAAATGCATACAAAACAAAGTAGTATAAAACTGATCAGAACAGAGTGATGAAGGCATTATAGGACTTCAAAACCAGACAATAGCAAAATCAACAATGGCTAACATACTGTCTCTATTTCTCTTCAAAATAGCTGTCCATACCTTCATGTATGTTGAAAGTAAATAAAACAAAACAGACTAAAATCACTCTAAATAAAGAATAAAAGCATTACTGGTTTTGCAGCACGATGATAGGAAATCAGCAGTAGGTACCATAAAGTCTCTTTTTCTTCAAGGTAGCTGTTCATTTCAGCACATATAATATCATTGATTCTCGTAAGCTGTTTAGGAGTAATTCTAGGCGTGTCTAAGCCTCTACATGAATACCTATCCTTTCTGTATTAGAGGAAAAAACAAAACAAAACAAAATAAAACAGATTACTACAAAAACACAAAACAAAAAAGACAAATAAAAGTAGCAAAGAGCCCAAAACACTGACGATATAAGCCTTTCAAGCCAAGGAGGTAGGAGCAGAGCAAGGGTTGTTATTTTACATAATGATCTTCAAGAGTTCCTCAGATCACCAGACACTAACAGGAAAAATTGTTCCAATCCTATGAATGTGAACTCTTTTGTCCCAAGGACTTACAGAATTTGTAGCACCATCATCTTAGCTATCCTAAGTGTGTTTATACAAATTTAGATATTTTTTCTTTTCCCTTCCTTTTTCTGTTTCCTTCTTTTACCTGAGATACTATTTTTTCCCTTTGAGCAGATTCTTATCCTTTCACTGTATTCACTGAGGATTTTGATCTTATGTACTGTTACCATTTCTTACACTAGGGAGACAATATGGTATTTACACATGTGAGTTTGACTTATTTCACTTATGAGTATGGTCTCATGTTGCATCCATTTATTTATAAATATCTCAATGTGAACATTCTTTATAGCTGAGTAGTACTCCATTGTATAAAAGTACCACATCTTTTTAATCCATTCCTCAGTTGATGAACATTTAGGTTGTTTCCAAGATCTGGCTATTACAATTTGTGCTGCTATAAATATGGATACATATATACTACTGTGGTATGATGTTTTCAGTTCTTCTAAGAATATGCCCAGAAGTGGAATAGCTGGGTCAAATGGGACTTCCAATCCCAGCTTTTTGAGGAACCTTCAGACTGACCTCCACAGTGGTCGCACCAGTCTGCACTCCCACCAACAGTGCAGAAGAGTTCCTTTTTCCCCACATCCTCTCCAGCATTTGTTGTTGGTAGTTTTCTTCATCCTGACCATTCTTTCTGGAGTGAGATGGAATCTGTGTGGTTTCAGTTTGCATTTCTCTAATGACTAATGATGTCGAACATTTTTTCATGTATTTATTTGCCATTTATATTTCTCCATCTGAGAACTGTGCTTTCATCTCAGGTGCCCATTTTTTGGATTGGGTCTTTGAATTTTGGAGGTCTGATTTTTAAAAAATTCTTTATATGTTCTAGACAGAAGTCCTTTGTCTGAGGGACAGTTCTATAAGATTTTTTCAAAATTCATGGGTTTCCTTTATACTCTGTTGGAGATTTCTTTTGACATGCAAAAACTTTTTAATAAGACATGATCCCAGTTACTGATTCCGGGAAGTATTTCCTGTGCAGTTTGATTTTTGTTCATGAATTCTCTACCTAGCCCTATGTCTTCAAGATTTTTGCCTACTTTGTCTTCCAGGAGGTTTAGTGTTTTTGTTTTAATATTTAGATCTTTAGCCCATTTTGACTTTAGTACATGGTGATAGGCATGGGTCTAGTTTTAGGTTTGGCATTTGGAGAACCAATTTTTCTAGCACTATTTATTTATTTTTTGTCTTTTTTGAGGCAGGGTCTCTCTATGCAGTTCAGGCTGGCCTTGAATTCACTTTGTAGCCCAGGCTGGTCTTGAACTCGCAACGATCCTCCTGCCTCAGTCCCTCAAGTGCTGGGATTACTGGCATGAGCCACCACGCCTGGCTCCAGATTTGCTGCAGTGTTTACCAATATTTATTATGGAGACTGTCGTTCTTCCAGTGAACATGTTTGGCCCCTTTATCAAAGATAAGGTGGGCTGAGTGTTTGTAGTTGCAGTTGTATCTTCTAACCTATTTTATTGATATTTAGGTCTGTTTTTATTCCAGTACCATGTTGATTTTATTACAGTAGCTTTATAGTATAGCTTCAATTCAGGGATTGTGATGCCTCCTGCCTTGCCTTTGTTGCTTAGAATTGTCTTTGCTATTCTAGGTCTTTTCTGGTTCCAGATGAATTTTAGGAATGATTCTTCTAGGTCTGTGAGGTATGATAGTAGTATTTTGATTGGGATTGCATTAAATCTGTATAACAATTTTGGGAGAATGGTCATTTTCGTAATATTTGTTCTTCTTATCCATGAACAAGGAATGTCTTTCCATTTTCTGAGGTCCTATTTGATTTCTTTTTTCAGAGTGTTATAATGTTCCCTGAATAGATATTTTACTTCTTTTGTTAGATTGATTTCTAAGTATTTGATTTTTTTTGGATGCTATTGTGAAGGGTGTGGCTTCTCTTATTTCTCTCTCAGTGATTGTGTTTTAGTGTATTGGAATGCTATTAATTTTTGAGTGTTGACTTTGTATCCAGCTACATTACTGAGTCTTTCATTGGAGTTTTCTATGTAGAGTATCATGTCATCTGCAAATAATGATAATTTAACTTCTTCTTTTCCTATCCTTATTCCTTTTATTTTTCTCTTGTCTAATTGCTCTGGCTAGTATTTCCAGCACTATTTGAATAGGAGTGGTGATAATGGATATCCTTGTCTTGTTCCTGATTTTAGGGTAAAGGCTTTCAGTTTTTGGCCATTTAATATGATGCTGGTTGTTGGTTTGTCATAGATGGCTTTTATCATATTGAGGTAAAGACCATCTATTCTAGTTTTCTGTAAGGTTCTTATCATGAATAAGTGGTGGACCTTATCAAAACCTTTTTCTTCATCTATAGAATTGATCATGTGATTCTTACTTTTGGCTCTATTGATGTGGTGGGTTACATTTATTGATATACGTATGTCGAACCATCCCTGAATTCCTGGGATGAATCCCACTTGGTCATGGTGTATAATCTTCTTGAAGATTTGCTGCATTCTATTTGCCAATATTTTATTGAGGATTTTTGCGTCTGTGTTCATTAGGCAGATTGGCCTGTAGTTCTCTTTTTTAGTTGGGTCTTTCTCAGGTTTTAGTACTAGAGTAATATTTGCTTCTAGGAATGACTTAGGAAAGATTGCTTCCCTTTCAATTTCATTGAAGAGTTTGAGGAGTGTTAGCATTAAGTCTTCTTTGAATTTCTTGTAGAATTCCACAGTGACTCTGTCTGGACCTGGGCTTTTCTTTGTTGGTAAGGATTTAATTACACTTTCAGTTTCATTAGTTGAAATTGGGTTATTCAACAGTTTTACAACTTCTTGATCCAGCTTTGGTCATTCACATGTTTCTAGGAATCTATCCATTTCTTCTGTGTTTTTTTAACATTTAAAAATTTTTTATTTTAAAGTGGGTAAAATTAAACACAACAAAAGAGAATAGGACATAAAGAGGCAATGTAAGAAATACAAATTTCAAAGCTAGACGACCTGAGATCTTCAGTGCCTATCATATTGTCTCTTGTTTTCTTCCAAATAGTTGTCCATGTCTTCACATACATAAAAAACAACAGTATAAAACTAATCTGAACAGAATGAGGAAGGTGTTTTAGGTCTTCAAAACCAGACAATAGAGAAGTCACTAATGGCTGTCATAGAGTCTCTTCTCTTCAAAATAGCTGTCCATACTTTCATGTATATTGAAATTCAACAAAACAAAACAGGCAGGAGGAGGGGTTGCTTGGTTTCCCAGAGCCCCAGGTCCCAGCATGGCGCAGGTAAATGCCGGTGGCTCCGGTCCTGGGCCATAGCCTGCCATGCTCATAGCTGCTCACAGGGAGTGGGAGGGCTTACTTCAAGCTGTTTCTTTTTAATGAATTGACCATTTCACTGCCCAGGCTCTGAAATGGCCAATAAACCATAGAAAGACACCTCTTTGGGCTCCTGCTTGAAACTAAGAGTGTCAGGAAGCTGCCAGCCTTGATTCAGGGCCAGCATTTCTTCTGTGTTATTGAGCCTATGAGAGTAGAAGTTTTTGAAATAGGTATTGATAATCTGTATTTCCACAGGGTCTGTAGTGATTTCACCCTTTTAATTTCTTATTGCATAAATTTGAGTTTTTTCTTTACTTTCTTTTAATAAAATTGGCTAGGGGCTTATCAATTTTATTTATTTGTCCAAAGAACCAACTCTTTGATTCTTTAATTCTTTGTATTGTTTTCTTAGTTTCTATTGCATTGATTTCTGCTCCGCTCTTTATCATTTTCTCCCTTCTTTTGGCTTTGCGCTTGACTTGTTCTTCTTTTTCTAGATGTTTGAGATGGAGCATCAGGTTGTTTATTTGTGTTCATTCTGTTTTCCTGATGTGGGAATTTACCACAACAAATTTTAGTCTGAGGACTGCTTTCATTGCATCCCACAGGTTCTGGTAAGTTGTATTTGTATTTTCATTTGCTTGTAGATAATTGTTTAATTTCTTCTTTAATTTCCTCTGTGACCCACTGATTACTGAGGAGTGTATTATACAATTTCCATGCGTTTGTAGGGTTTTTGCAGTTTCTTTTGTCATTATTTCTAGTTTCATAGCACTATGATCTGACAACATCCATGGGATTATTTCTGTTCTTTTGCCTTTTCTTAAGTGTGTTCTATGGGTTAGTATATGGTCTCTTTTAGACAATTTCCCATGTACTGCTGAGAAGATTGTATATTCTGATGTTGTTGAGTGGAACACTCTGTATATATCCAAGTCCATTTGTTCACAGGTGTGATTCAGTTCTTTTTTTGTTGATTTGTCTAGTTGATCTTTCCCTTTGTGTCAATGGCACGTTAAGTGAATAGTGTGAATAGTTACATTCTCCTATTATAATTGTGTATTGCTTATTTGATTTTTCATTTCTGTTAATACTTGTTTTGTATAGCTGGGTGCTCCCAAATTTGGTGCATAGATATTTAAGATTGTTATCTCTCCCTCTTGAAGTTTTCTCCTAACTAATATGTACTGACATTCTTTATCTCTTTTGATCATTCTTTTTTTTTTTTTTTTTTTTTTGTCTTTTTCATTTTTATCGGTACCAGGGATCGAACTCAACCACCTGCTTGCAAGGCAGGTACTTATGCCGCTGAGCTAAATCCCCAGCCCCTCTTTTGATCATTCTTAGTTTGAAATTCATGTTGTCTGCAAACAGAATAGCTAACCCTGCTTTTTTTTGTCAGGGGGTTCCTGTTGCATGAAGTATTGTTTTCCATCCTTTGACTTTCAGTCTATGAGTTTTCTTTTGGGTTAGATGGGTTTCTTGTGTACAGCATATGGTTGGATGTTGTTTCTTGATCCATTCTGCAAGTTTGTTTCTTTTAATTGGTGAATTGAGGCATTTACATTAATAGTCATAACTGATATACATATATGTTTATTTTTGACATGTTAGCTTTCTGCTGTTGATTCTTTACCTTTCCACTCTGTTTAATTGTTTGCCTTGCTTAGTGGTTTTTTCCCTATGTCTATCTAGAATGTCTTTCAGTATTCTTTGCAGGGTTAGTTTTGTGGTCATGAAGTTCTCCAGCTGTTCTTTGTTGTGGAAGTATCTTATTTCACATTTTGAAGGACAGTTTTGCAGGGTATATAAGTATGGGTGGAAGTCATTTTCCTTTAGGATCTGCAGTACTTCAGTTCATCTTCTTGACTTCATTGTTTGTGCTGAGAAATCTGCTTTGATTCTGATAGGCTTTCCTTTATAGGTGATCTGTGTCTTCTGTTTAACAGCTTTTAATAGTCTATTCTTATGTTTGATTAGTGAGATGTTGATTATTATATGTCTGGATGTAGTTTTATTTTAGTTATGGCTATTTGGAGTTCTGTATGCTTCACTGATCTATATGTCAGTTTCCATTCTCATGTTTGGGAAATTTTTAGCTATTACTTCTGTAAATAGCCTCTTGATATCATTTGTGTTGTCCCCTTCTTTTTCATTTATCCCTATCAATCTTACGTTGTTTTTCTTTGCATTATCTTGCAACTGTTGAATTGTTATTTCCTGATTCCTTGCTATTTTTAAAAGATCTTTCCTTTCCTGTTCACAACTATCTTCACTTTTGTTGAGGTGGTTTTGCCAACTTCTGATGGAATTTTTGATTTCCTGTCTATCTCTTTGAATCTGCTTTATCCATTCTGTTTCTTATATTGTTCATTCAAGGTTTCCATCTTTTTGCATTGTTCCTCTATTTTTTTTAGCTATGTTTTCTTTAGATATGTTCAGCATTTCTTTCACTGCATTTATCATTTCTTCTTTTACCTGGGAAATATTTCTGCTCTGAGTTCTTTTATAGCTTCCCAGAGTTGTATCTTTACTTCATTTGCTATCATTTCAGGAGTTTCAGGTGTATGGCTTACATTTTCTTCTATGTCCATGTCTCCTAGGCTTGCTTGGGATGGGCTGGAGGTTTGAGATTGCATTTTGCTCTTTTGTTTTTTCATTTTCTTGTATTTCCAGGCTCAGAGCAATGCACCAAACCTTCCCTGTGGGTTGGAAATCACCTCATGCACTTCTGGCTTGCGAGCCTGAATGCAGGCAGCTTCTGGCCACTAGGTAGTCACTGGCCATGGCCCAGATAGGCCCATAGGGACCTCTGGTGCATCCTGGAGTGATTTGGGTCACAGGGTGGGGCCTTAGCAGCTCAGAGCCATGTTCCAAAACTTTCCAGTATGTTGGAAATCACCTCGTGCACTTGTGGCTTCCAATGCTGAATGCAGCCAGCTGCTGGCAGACAGGGGTCACTGGGCATAGCCAAGTTAATTTATTTTTAAAATACCAATGAGTATCTGTCATGTTAAAACAAGAAGAGAAAGTGGACTACAAATGTGCTTTGAAAGCACAGTAGAATGTGGATTATTTAGTTACCGGCTTACATGACAAAAGCATTATATTCATTATGTATTGAAGATATAATTATACTAAAAAATATGACATTCTCAGACTAAGCACCCATCAAAATGTTCTCAACTACAGAAATTTTGGAAATTTAAAATGGAATATTTCATTATAACAGAATTCCTTTGTAAGAGTTAAAAAATGAAAATGAGGCTGTAACCAAAGTAAAGGTCATTGTGATTAATTTAGCCAAGCAAAGAAATCCATTTATCATGGGTCATTAATGACATTATAAGTTCAACAACTGAAAAAGATGTGTCTAGAAAAAATAAACTTGCTTAAATTATTAAGCCTTTTGATGAGAACCGCTTCTCAAAGTTAAGCATATTGGGAGCAACCTCCATAGTTGATTAAAAAAACAAAGCGAGTGATGTTATGTAGTTTTTCTTGGTTCTTGATGAGTTGACAGCAATATACTATCAAACTTTCCTGTTTTTAGTAGAGGGGTCAATACTGAATTTGAATAAGCTTCTGTGAATAGTGTGGAGCAAATAGAGGCAAGAACATTTTCAGAGATTTTGAGAAAACAATTCAGTGTGACCTGAAGTAGCATCTTCTAAGATGTGTTAAATCTGATAAAGATAATATTATGCCTGTACATTGGATATGGTGGCTCATGCCTGTAACCTTGCATTATGAATGAGCGAGGCAGGAGGACTGCAAATTCAAGCTCAGTCTGGGCAGCCTTTCTAGACTATGTCTCAAAATAAAAAATAAAAATAAAAAGGGACAGGATACATGTAGCTAAGTAGTGGAACATGCCTGTGTTTGATCACCAGTACACAAAAAAAAAATACTTAATAGCACAGGACTAGTTAAGCAAATTTACAAAGCTTATGGAAGTTTAGGGAATTTAAATGCTGTGATTATTCATTGTGATATGAGTAGATACCCAGCAGAACATAGTAGCATTGTCATGTGTTAATGAATCAATAATGTTCACAGTGAACTTTTTTCTGTCTTGTAGACTTAATCATTTTTAGTTTTGTGTATTTTAATCTGAAATGGAAACTATATCGTGACTTTCTATCAGAAGGCTGCTGTCTTAGCAGGTGTATGTAAACATTTTATTTTTATTCTTTTTTGAGCTCGGCTCTAACACTGAACTGTTTTCTTTGTCTTTTGAGCTAGGGTCTGCCCAACTTGCTGGATGGGTTTGAACATTTGCTTCTGGTATAGGATTGGTAAAGTTCAGCCTGTACGTTGTGCATACTGTACAGGCAAAACTGTGCTTGTATGTGGAGCTTACGAGTTCTAGAATGGAGCTTAATTTATCATTGCTGTGATAAAGTCATTTCAGTGACAAATAGTTTCAAACTGTTTTGTGTACTCCCCATGCCTGTCAGTAGTTAAAAACAAGTGGCAAGCTCTCTGTTCCTGCACAGGCTTTTAGATGTGCTTTCTTTCTCTCTCTCTCTCTCTTTTTTTTTTGTCTTTTTGAGACAGGGTCTCACTATGCAATTCAGGCTGGTCTTGAGCTCACTTTGTAGCCCAGGCTGGTCTCGAACTTACAACGATCCTCCTGCCTCAGCCTCCCGAGTGCTGGGATTACAGGTGTGAGCCACCATGCCTGGCTCTTTATGATACTTTCAGAGTATGGTTTTACCAGCATTTTCAGGCTTTGATGCACATTCAAAAGAAATTTACATATTTCAAAAGTAATTTAACTGAGTTGAAGAGCTATCACCGCATGATAGTCTGCAGTGTAATGACATGCTAAAAGGCAAATGCTCAAGCATGATTCCAATTCAGTCCCTTTAAGCAAGATATCACACATTGAAATCATATTTTTATGGAGTGATTTGATTGACACTTAGTGTTTGGTATTTTCTGTGTGAAAAAGTTTTCTAAAGTGGAGCCTAAAATTGTATTACAGTTACGCCCGAACAAGTGAAAAATTTGTATTTGATTTGGAAGAGTTGGGAAAAAAGAAAAATAATTGGAATACTAACTTTTAATCTCAGCTGAATGAAGTGTTATCCTGCAACCACACAACCTTATTAGCAGACCTGTTTTATTATTCTTAATTATTTGAATTTTGTCATAAGAATTTTGTGTAAGTTCATT